GAGCGCGTGCTGGAGCTGGCGCGCGGCGGCGGCGACCCCTACAGCGACCTCAGCAAGGGCGTCCTGCGCTACCGGACCGTGGAGGACGTGCTCACGCCCCTCGAAGACTGCTTTATGCTGGACTCGGGCTCTGTCCTGGATTTCAGCGTCCTCGCCACTATCATGCAGAGCGGCCACACGCGCATCCCAGTGTACGAGGAGGAGCGTTCCAACATCGTGGACATTCTGTACCTCAAAGACTTGACCTTCGTGGACCCTGAGGACTGCACGCCGCTCAGCACCATCACCCGCTTCTACAACCATCCGCTCCACTTCGTCTTCAACGACACCAAATTGGACGCCGTTCTGGAGGAGTTTAAGCGAGGTAAGGTTTGGAAAGGGTCTCACCCTGCCGGAAAAAGGCACTAAGACTTGACCTTTTCCAGAAAGCGATGGCCTTGAATCTGGGAATGACCTTTGGAAATATTTAAAGACCGTCTTTTAGAAGCAGGAAGGAGGTGCTGTGGGAGTCTGATGCAGGAGGACTGGAGGGTGGTTATGTAGTAAGACCCTATTTATTAAAAAAAAAAAAAAAAAGTGAGGATGTAGTTCAGTGCTTGCCTAACCTACACAAAACCCTGAGTCACTAAGTAGGTGATGGCCTACCTGCTTAGAAAGATGGAAGCCAGCCTGGGCTAAAGAGTCTATCTCAAAAATAAATGAATGAATAAAAGCTTCCCATGATCCTTCTCCCCCCATTGGCAGCAAGCATGCCTACTTGGCTCTAACCCCAGAGGTTTTTTTCTCCCAGAGGTTTCTGAGCATTTGGGCTTTCAAGCTCACCCAGATTCTTGGACAGTAACTAAGAGGATGTCAAAAGGATAAGGTAGCTTCAAGTTGTTATCTTCACCTATTTAACATTAAATTGGCTGGACCTGTGATGTTTCCTGGCCCATTCGGGTTGCAGGACAAGGAAGGACTGGAATACTTTTTCTACAGATACAGAGATTTTCGTTTAATGTCGTTGAAAGCAACATCATGAATAATGACCAAGTTTCCCTTCCTAGCTTTTTTCCCCTAACTTTTTTTGTTGTTGTTGAGATTTTTTATGTGTATTGGGTGTTTGCATGTGCTATATCTGTACCACATGCATGCAATTGCTATGGAAGCCAGAAGAGGGGGACGGGTTCCTTGGGACAGGAGTCACAGACACTTGTTAGCCGACCTGTAGGTGCTGGGAACTGGGTCCTCCCGCGCTCTTAACAGCTGAGCCATCTCTCCAGCTTCCCCTCTTTCATTTGAATTGTTTTTAAGTGCCAGTAATTAAGCCCAGTGTCTCATGCTTGCCAGACAAAGTGCTCTTGCTGTAAGCCACACTCCCATTTTCATTTTTTTTTTTTTGCCTAAGGTCTCTGGGAGTCTCCCTGAACTCTACATTTTTCACCACTCCTTTCACTGGTTTGTTTAAGCCACTTTTTAAAGTTGTTTTTTTTTTAAAAGATTTTATGTGTATTAGTGTTTTGCCTGCATATATGCACACTACATGCATGTCTGGTGCCTGAGAAGATTGAAAGAAGGCTTTGAGTCCCCTGGAACTGGAGCTGTGGATGGTTCACCCATGTGAACCACTACATGGGTGCTGGGAACTAACCCAGGTCCCATCTATTAAGGTTGAAAGTAAAAACCACGAGGCTCTTCCAAATGCTAACATGTCCGCTAACATGTCCTAGCGGCATTGGTTGCTCAAGCTTTTAATCCCAGCATTTGGGAAGGCAGAGACAGATGGATCTCTGAGTTTGGGGACAGTCAGGGCTACGCAGAGGAATCCTGTTGAGGGGTGGTGGTGGTGGCAAAAACAACAACCAAAAATACGTGGGTTCCTATATAGCACTCTGTCCTCATCCTTTCGGTGCTTCCCAGAGCCTTGGGTGTTCTTTTTCCACCTGATATGCTTCCTTGGAGGGTGGGGGTAGATATATACCAGGGCTCTAGGTGGATTAGGCTGCTTGATAAGAATTGGCAGGTGGAGCAAAACTCCCTTGAACTGGGCAAGTGGCAAATCTTCTGGCCCCAGGTAGACTCAGTGAGCCCCTGAGGCAGTAAGAGGCAGCTCTTGGTAATGAGCACACTCCTCTTGTATTGAGTGCAGTGTGTGCCAAGCTCTCACAGACATTCTGCATGCCCAGTCTCCCTTTGTCTTTGCAGGAGACCATGTGTAGATCATGAATGGGAGGCTTGAATGAACAGCTGACTGATCTGTCGGAGGACCTCTCAAGTGTGTCCTGCAGCCCACTTTCTGGGGAGTGGGTGGGGTCCATCTGGACTCCTGTCACCCTAAAGCAAGGCACTTCTCATGGTGTGAGAGCCAGCCAGCAGGGTTCTGTTCTTTCCCTGCCTGCCTTGAGTTCCCAGGTCGTAGGAGGACTGCTGAGTCTCTCTTTGCTTTGTTAATCAAAGACAGAGACTTAGGGTGTGCTCGTTTGTCTAGTGACTGTCATTCCTGAGAAATAGTGTTTGTCCACTCCAGGTGAATTGGGCTTTAGTGTGAACCTGGAAGGATAGGTCCTTTAAGAGCGTAATATACAGACCATCATTGTCCCTCTGGTGTCTGAAATGCTCTTGTTACTAAGGTCTTTGAATTGTTTGCTCACATCAAGGCTAGTGGCATAGGCCTTACCAGAGCAAAGTTCTGGTTGACCTGTCAGTAGGAAAGAGATGTCCCAGCTGAGGACAGAGATGGGAAAGCATTTTGGATTTGAAGCCATGTGGGATAGAGGAGAGAGGTGTGAGAAGGGAGGTGCTCACTGTAGTGTCCCATTCGGGCTGGGCCTGTGCTTTGTTTACCTGCTGTCAGTGCCACAGTGGGACAGTGGAGGTGTAAAGGTTGTCCCCATCCAGGTAGAACTGAATTTAAGCTTTAGGAATTGTCAGTGCTGTTAAGGATGAAGTTGATCAGAGCTGTTTTTCATTAGTTAAAATGTTTACAAACCTTTAGTTAAAATTTTCACAGAGGAGGGGCTGAAGAGATGGCTCAGCAGTTAAGAGCACTGACTGCCCTTTCAGAGGACCTCGATTCCCCTCCCAGCAACCCACATGGCAGCTCACAGCTGTCCGTAACTCTAGTTCCAGGGGATCTGACACCCTCACATAGATACATACATTCAGGCAAAATGCCAGTGCACATGAAATAAAAACAGATTATTTAAAAAAAATGTTGACAGAGGCAAGATGAGTGGAGTTCTTGTATATTGCATTGTGGACATAGGTTTGATCAACAGGGCTATGAGCTAGGAGCAGCAATTTCTGGGTGGCTTTGTTTTTTGAGACAGGATGTAGCCTTGAGTGGCCTTGAACTCAGATCTGCCTGCTTCTGCCACCCAAGTGCTAGGACTAAAGTGCTGGGTGTGTCCTATACCCAGATTGTCTGAGTGGTGTTTACTGATCAGTGGCTGATGTGGACAATAGTGGTGTGGGGAGCCCAGGTAATATGCCACATTGGCCGGAGGAGGTGACCAGGGAGGCATTAGGAGGTAGAATAGAGGATATTGGCTGTTTGATTAGGGCTGTGAAACCAGAAGTAGTAGTAGTAGTATTGGAGGAGGTCTAGGTGTCTTCCTGTATGATAGTATTGGCTCCCTTAAGGCCTGGAGCCAGGAGCAGGTGAGTGTTTTCTTACACTGGAATTTGTGTCCCAAGGAGCAGATTCCTAGCAGGCAGCTGATATGAACTGCAAACAAAAGACTGAAGAGGAGGTGAAGATCAGAATGTCAGTGTAGAAGTAATCTAACTCCTGAGCTACAGGAGTAGTACAGAGAGCCCAAGCCCTGGGGAACACAAAGCATGCAGGAGGATAGGGCTGGGAAAGATGACGACAAGAACAGACAGGACCCTGGAAGTGAGAGGACCCAGAAGCTTAGGATGTCCTGAGGGCTGAGAGAACAGACCGCCTTCTGAGAAAGGTCAGCAATCAGGATGATTGACTTTTTTTTCCTCCTAAGTGCTAGGCAAGTAACCCAAATTTATGTACATGTTAGTCAAACACTGCCACTGGGTTTTTGCCCTTGATCTGTGGATCTGGGGCAGAGGAGTAACTGGGAGAATGAATGTGGATGACCTTCATTCACCATGCGTGGCTGTGAAGTCGAGCCCAGGTAGCAGTGGCTAGCAGAGGACCAAAGGATGGAGGATGTGTGGCAGGGGAGAAGCCTTCTGCTCTTGGGTTTTAGGAGGGGAAAATAGAGCAAGTTCCATTAGACATGTCAGCAAGAAGGAAATACACAGACAGAGAAGGGCCACGGTATGGTTGCTCCAGATTTGGGGTGGGTGGCCTCTGGAGAACTCAGCAGGCAGGTATCAAGCATCCTGATGCTGAAACATTTGGGGCTGAATGCCTCTCTGTTTAAATAGACTATTCCAGAAGCTTCCCAGTAACCTTCTGGAAGCAGGGTACAACCTGGAGATCTAGTGGGGTCCTTTCTGTCATCCTCGACTTCGGTCCTGTGGTAATGGGCTTCCTTGGCTTCTGCGACCTTGCATTTCCTTGTGTGGGTCCTCTTTTATACTTTAATCCTCTTGAGAACAAATTACAGTCTGCCTGATGTTACAGTTTTTAGGGCAGTTCTCACCCCTCTCATGAGCATCTGAGACTGTGGTGCTTCTGATCTTTCTGAGGCTTGAGTCTGTGGTGCCATGTCTGATAATCCTTTGGGGCCCTGGTCCATGTGCTCATTCCAAGCACCATTAGGTTGTGACTTTTGTTAACTGGGGGGAGGTGCCCGTTGCCGGGGATTATTTTGTGCACAAGTCACCTGACAGAGTGTGTTGGAAACACATGCTTTCTTCCCTGTCAGCCCCATGAGACTCTTGAAGCAGAGGAAGGATTAGGGATGAGCTTTTCATTCAGCCTCTGTCTTCACGAGCTTGAGGTCTGGTTTACTGTCTGTTAAGCCAAGGATTGTCATGGTGCTGAGATGAGTCAGATTTGCCCAGTTGCTCGGAGGAATGTTGGCACATGATTTTCCTCAGTGTGCATGCATGCATGCATGATTGCTTTAGGAGACAACAAAGGGGGCTTGAGGCATAGGTCAGTGATGGCAATAGTGAGAAAGACCCTGATTTCTATCCCCAGCCACACACACACACACACACACACACACACACACGCATACACACACGCACGCACGCACGCACGCACGCGCACACACACACAGTGCACATTATGAACAGGTCTTCCAGCCTCCAAATAATTGCAGTACTTTTGAGCCTGCTAACTAACTAAAATGAAAATTCTAGAGCATTCCAGTTTGTGTTTATTTTGTCAGATCACATCAGTCATACCTGCCATGGTTCTGTGGAGCTGGCCTAGTCAGATTATGCATCTATCTGCCCTAAGTAGTATTCAGCCCTGTCCAGTGGGGACAAAGTGTTAATCCCTCCAGCTTCCCTTTCTGTCCCCCTGCTGTTTTCTTGTAAGAGGCCTTCTGTCCCTCCAAGCTCTCTGGCTTATGTATTCATATGGCGAGGGACTTCTCCCATTTGTTACTGAAGCATCCTGGTGCAACAGGTCACAGAATTGTGAGTCTTTTTCAAAGAAGCTTGAGAGTACAGGAGAGGTTAATCCCTTCCAGTAAGTGGCATGCCAGAGGACTCACTCTTGGGAGGAGGAAGTGTGTTGAGGCTTCTCTACTCTGAGTGGTCTTTTAGAACCCAAACTTTGGGTTTGAGAATCCAAAACTTGGGTCTTGCACTCTTGACCTTCCCTGCCTGGCCTCACAGGTTTGTATTCCATGGCAGAGCAGCCCTTGTGGAAATGGCACCTGCCTGCTAGCTTGAACCAGTTCCAGCACTATCACCAAGGATTGGAAGGAATTTAGAAACCTGGCACTTTGACCCAGTGCCTCTGACTCAGCAGAATGGGCATTTGTCGGGGGTACCTAGCCTTTTCCTCCTGGGAGACTTTAATCTTTTCCTGGGTCATTTAGAGAGCCTCCTGAAGAAAGATGCTGGTCCTGGGAGGGAATAGCCCTCATGTGGGTCTGGACTGTTTTTTTTCATTAGTAATAAGAATGTGTGTGCTCATTGCCTTGCCTCAGACCTGCCTGTTTCCATCCTCTAACCCACCCATGGCTCTGGAGCCCTTGAGTGGACCCTTTCCTAAGTTGTGATATGCTGCAAGTGTTAGGCACGTATACACCAGGTTTCAGGCATGTGTTATAAAATATAAAAAGAGGTATAAAATATATATTGTGTTTTTATGTTACTTACTCATTGAAATGATACTTTAGCTATATTGGATAACACACAGTCATACAGTGTTAAAATGCTACTAAATGATTTTAAATTACACTCATAGCCTGCGCTCTGTCTTTCAAATAGATGTAAAGTTTTATGGATTGAATACATTTTATATGACCCCAAATAAATTTCTGAAGTTTCCCCAACATTTGCCAACCCTATAAGAGTTGGGTTTTTTCAAGCTCTTCTGTCCTCACTAAATTAGCCAAATAGGAAAGTGAATGAGGAAGACTTGGGAGTGAGGTGTCTTGTTCCAGCTCTAGCTCTTCCTCTTGACATACCATGCGCCTGCGCCTAATTAACCCCCCCCCACCCTCTAGAAGACCCCTGGCGGTCAGATTTCAGAATTGGGAAAACCTGCTGAGGATGCATGTTTGTCATCTTAGCATTGGAGGGGGTCACAAATCCCACACCAACCTAGATTGCATAGTGAGACCCTTCCTCAGAAAACAAAAGAGGAAAATGAAATACTGTACTGTACACTTGATCTCAACACTCCTGAGACTGAGGCAGGAGCATTGTGATTGTTGGGTCAATATAGGCTCCAGCAGTGAAACCCTGTCTTAAAGATAAAATCAGATAGATGAATAAAAAAATAAAATCAGGCCCGTCGGTGGTAGCATCCACCATTAATCCTAGCACTCGGGAGACAGAGGCAGGTAGATCTCTGTGAGTTCAAGGCCAGCCTGGTCTACAAAGTGAGTTCCAAGATAGCTAGGGCTACACACACAAATCTTGTCTCAAAAAGCCAAAGGGGGCAGGGGAGAAAAAAGAGGGCTGAGGATATAGCTCAGGGCAGGGGTAGAGTGCTTGCATAGCAGGTGTGAGGCACTTGTGTGCCAGTGTGAAGAGGAAAGGGTGTGGTGTGGCCAGTATAAGCATCTTCTGGGGGATCCCTGCAGGCTGCAAATAAGTGTCCCCTCCTACAGGGAAGTCCCATCTGGCCATTGTGCAGAAGGTGAACAATGAAGGTGAGGGTGACCCCTTCTACGAGGTGCTGGGCTTGGTCACCCTGGAGGACGTCATTGAGGAAATCATCAGGTCTGAGATCCTGGATGAGTCTGAAGACTACCGTGAGTTTGACTGTTGTTCTTTCTCTAACTCAGAACCCTTCCAGCAGCCTAAGGGGTGGGGTGTCCATATCAGAGACCAGTGGGTTTTTGTTGTTGTTGTTGTTGTGTCCGTCCGTCCCTACCCCTACCCCCCAGACCGGGTTTCTCAGTGGCTTTGGAGGCTGTCCTGGAATTCGCTCTGTAGACCAGGCTGGTCTCGAACTCACAGAGATCCACCTGCCTCTGCTTCCCGAGTGCTAGACTAAAGGTATGCGCCACTAACGCCTGGCAGACCAGTGGGTCTTTTAATGCTGCTGAAAACTGGCTAGAGCTCCAACCAGACCCTATCTTCCCTACTGTGGTAAGGGCCAGTGTTGTCCCTCCATACAAGCCATGCAGAGCGTCCGTTTGTTGACTTCTGTGGCCCCTGTGTGAGTAGAGGGCTTTGTAATAGCCCTCCACTTACTACTGGACAAAGTGTCTGCTCTTGGTAGGCCAGTGCCTGTCTGCTGCTCTTGTTGGCTACATTCTTTTGTGCATAGCTCCTTAATGCATTCTTTGAACTGGATATGAAGCTCAGTAGTAGAGTATTTGTGTAGCTTAAATGGGGCTGCATTTGGTCACCTGCACCACACAGGTTTGGTTTTTTTTTTTTTTTTTTTTTTTTTTTATTCCCATGCCATTAATTTCAGCAAGGCAGAGGTGTGTAAATCTCTGAGTTTCTGTCCAACAGAGGATACATAGTTTACCCTGTCTCAAAAAGAAAAAAAAAAAAAAAAAAAAAAAAAAAAAAAAAAAAAAAAAGATTCTTTCTGACTGGCTATTGAGTAGGTCTTCTGTAACAGACAGTCATGGGACCTCTGATTGTGTCTTCTTCTAAAGTTGATGTCCAGCTCTGTGGGGCAGACATAGAGCCCATGCTTAATAGCTGGGGGCCTCATATGGCTACTTGGGACCCTGCACTGCCATGCCTGTGTCTTGGGTTCTGTCCCTGAGCCGATGCAGGGTCACCAGGGTAGCTGCTGCCATTTGCTGTGGGTGATCTTCAAGTGCTTGTAACAACCCTGAAGGGTCTCCAGAGCAGTACTGTCCTCTGAGGGAGAGCCAGACTTCCTGTGGGCATGGCTGGAAATGGCATATGTGCTATTGCCTTTTCTGTCCTAGGCACTGGGATTATTGTGTGCTGGTCATGGCAGCTCAGTGTCTTGCAGGGAGCAGTGCCAAGGATGTTTCCTTGGGGCCCTGGTGATGTCTGCCCTGAAATCCCTGGACCTTGGGAGAAAGGAGTAGGTGACAGTGCCATTTGCTTTGTTTATGCTGATATCTGCTCATGCCATCTTTTCACTGCCTTTGCAGACACCAAAGTGAGGAAGAAGACTGTTGCCCTGAGCACCCCTCTCAAGCGGAAGGAGGAATTCTCCTTATTCAAGGTGTCTGATGATGAATATAAAGTAAAAATCTCGCCTCAGCTGCTCCTGGCCACCCAGCGCTTCCTTTCCCGAGGTGAGGGTGAAGGGCGGTCCTTGCCCCTGGTCTCACCACCCAGAGGGTCAAGAAACCACCCAGGCCAGACACCAGCTTGGCTCCTAGTGAGCTGGAGGCTCTCGAAGAGCATCTGCTTCCCTCTGCAGAGCTAGTGGGTGTCTCCTGATAAGGCGTGTTCTGGGAACCTCATGTTGTATGCCCTGCTTGGCTCTCTTGTGTGGATTGCCGCAGCCCCGGGACCACTGGGAGAGCCCAGGAGGCAGCAGGAGGCAGGTGTGATGGCAGGCCACTTGGGCCCCAGTGGACACTGTCCCTTTCTCCCACCGCGGAGCAGAGGTGGATGTGTTCAGCCCATTGCGAATCTCCGAGAAAGTCTTGCTGCATCTGCTGAAGCATCCCAGTGTCAACCAGGAGGTGAAGTTTGATGAGAACAACCGCCTGGCCGCACACCATTACTTGTACCAGCGCAGCCAGCCGGTGGACTACTTCATTCTCATCCTGCAGGTAACCATGGTTGCCCAGACCTGGGAAGAGAGAGATCCAGACAGCCACCCTTAAACAACTGGGGCTGAGGTTTCTCCTGTACTCTCTTATGACAGGAGAGATAACCTGTCCACCTCTCTTCCTCGCAGGGCAGGGTCGAGGTAGAAATTGGGAAAGAGGGCCTGAAGTTTGAGAATGGGGCCTTCACATATTATGGAGTGTCTGCCCTGGCAGCTCCATCTTCAGGTAAGCCATGGCCCCTTTGGATCTGAGGGTTGTGATCATGGTTGGCAGAGCTACCCCTGATACTCTGGCTGCTGCAGCAGATCTATGTGCCTAGAATACTGGCTTCCCAAGAGCCTGAGTCTCTGTCCCACAGAAGATTTGTCTCTAGGCAGCATAGAGGGCAGAGCAGCATTTCTGCCTTGTTTATCTTGGTAGCCCACTCAGTTCCAAGGTGGCTTCTTCATGGTCTTCCCTGTTCCCACCCATCCCCTCTCAAAGGTGACGTAAGCGGTAGGCACTAGAGGTTGTGCGGTTGTCCCATGGCCTTTCACCATCTTTGATTATTTCTTTCATAGCTCACCAGTCCCCAGTGTCTTCACGCCAGCTCATCCGCCACGAACTGATGCCTGAACCAAGTGAGAGTAGCCGCCCCTCCACGTACTGTCCTGACTACACCGTGAGGGCCCTTTCCGACCTGCAGCTCATTAAGGTGACTGTTTGGGCTGCACATTGGTGCTGCTTTAATTGGCTTTGTGCTCCCAGGGTGCCAGTCCAGCTGTCACTGTGAAGATGGAGATGACAGGCACAAGATGACAGGCTCACAACCTGAATGGTGGGACCTCCCCTCTCCCTGGATTGTTGGGGTCTGGGCCTATCTGGAGGCCTTATTACCTGATCTCTCCATTGTAGATCTTAAAATCAATTGGTCTTAAAACAAAACCATGTGGCTCAAAGGCTTTCAGCCCTTCACTAGTTCAAAGGCCATGCCTAGTGCAGGCCAGAGGTGGGAGCTCTGCTGAATGCATCTCACAGATTGCACGTGCTGGGTAATTTCTCTATTCTCTTATCCTCTAGGTCACACGGCTGCAGTACCTTAATGCACTCCTGGCTTCCCGAGCCCAAAGCTTGCCTCCATCCCCAGAGAATGCTGAGCTCCAGGCCATCCCAGGCAGCCAAACCAGGCTTCTTGGGGAGAAGTCCACTGAAACCACAGGTGAGCCCCAGGTGGTACATCCTGCAGTGTTGGGGCCCAAGGGTCACGGGAAGTCCTGCTACTGTGCTGCTTGTCTTTTCTACTGCCCTTGTCTTGAATCTTCCTGTTGCTCTGCCCATCCTTTCCCTTCTTCCTGCTTGTAGTAGCTTGGATTACATGATCAAGTGGCACTCAAAATAGAGCAGATGGCCTTTTCTCTCTATGGCCTCTTAGAGATGGCTTAATTAGGTCTGGATAAGTGGGGAGGTGTTGAGTTTAGAAACTCTCAGGCCACTTAAGATCCGGGTTAGGTCACTTGGAGAATGGAGATCTGGCTTTTCCTTGGCCCTGGCTCAGGGGTGCACTTGCTGTGGAGTTGGGTCAGCACATGTTGATAGTGAAGTTCTATAGAAAAAAGCACTTGGCTCAGGGGCAGTCACAAACACATTTTTACAGTAGAAATTGCTTTTTTAGTTGAGGTGACACGAGGTACAAAGGACAGAAACCCTTGACCCCGAGCCACAATGATGGCTCAGCTCCCATGGGCTGTGAGGGAATGCCTTGTAGTCCTGGTGGTGGGCATGGGTCACCTTCCATTCTAAAGGAATGTCCATTTCAGAAAGGCATTTTTCACTGTGTTTACATGGTGGTCACAGTGTTCACTGTGACATTCTGTGAAATACCCCAGAACAAAAGTTCACAGTCACCTTAGCCTTACCTAGAATGTTTTCTGGCTCCAACCACTAACTCACACTGCACAGGCTGTATTCAGGGTACAGACATGAGCTGGGAATGGTAGTTCTCCTTTGAACGTGTCTTCAGGGATTTTTCTCTCCTTCCCTTCCCTCCTTCCACCTTCTGTTTCCCCCTTCACTCCCTCCTCCTTTCCTCTCCCTGCTTTTCTTTCCTTTCTTTCCATGTGCTGGGGGGTTGAACTTAAAGCCTTGCACACACTAGGCAAGCATTCTACCATTTGAGCTGTGCCTCTAGTCTATAGAGAATTTTTTTTTTTTTTTAAGATTTATTTATTGTGTATACAGTGTTCCATCTACATGTGTCCCTGCAGGCCAGAAGAGGGCACCAGATCTCATTACAGATTATTGTGAGCCATCATGTGGTTGCTGCGAATTGAACTCAGGACCTCTGGAAGAGCAGTCAGTGCTCTTAACCTCTGAGCCATCTCTCCAGCCCCGAGAATTTATTTTTTTAATGATTTGTTATGTATATAGTCTTCTGTCTGCATGCCATAAGTGGGCACCAGATCTCATTACAGATGGTTGTGAGCTGCCATGTGGTTGCTGGGAAGTGAACTCAGGACCTTTGGAAGAACAGCCAGTGCTCTTAGCCTCTGAGCCATCTTTCTAGACCCCCTAGTCTCTAGAGAACTTTTAATTCTCTTGGCTTTGCCCATTCTTTGAGCTATCTTACAAAAAGAGTAAGTTACAGTAGCTTGTGGGTCATTTCTTCCTTATAGTGGTTTATCCACCCTCTGTTTGCCAATTTTCACCTAGGTGTGACCTGACGTTTGCCCCAGTGAGGTGTGGGGGTCTTTCTGTGTTTGTTCCTGTCCCTGAAGAGCTTAGTGTTACTGTGTAGTGCTTGTTTCAGTGGGGCACTGTTTAAACTAGTGCAGAGAGACTCAGCCCCTGTGGATTTGGGCACTAAATCCCTGGCATTCTAAATTGCCTACATCAGTGATTGGGCAGGTGGTGGCAGTGCACACCTTTAATCCAGCACTCAGGAAGCAGAGGCATGTGGAACTCCTGAGTTCAAAGCCAGCCTGGTCTACATAGTGAGTTCCAGGGCAGCCAGAGCTACACAGAGAAACCCTGTCTCAAAAATCCAAAAGCAAAAACAAAAACCCTACATCAGGGATTAGCAAACTATGGTGTGGGAGCCTGATTTGTTTATAAATAAGCTTTTATTAGAGTCTACTGACTTGTTGCTGGCTGTCTGGCTGCCTGTGGGTGGCAATGGTTACCTAGCAGGGGACTTGCAAAATGTAAGCTCATGGCCCTTTACTAAAAGTTTTCTGCTCCTGGGACTCCTCACCCTTGCAGCCCTGTGATTGGTGACTTTCCTCTGTGGTCCCCAGCAAGACCTGTCAGCACAGAGCCCTCCCTCCCCAGCCTTCCGCGTGGTGCTGAGGCCCACTGCCACTCAATAGCATGTCTCCTCTTCTTTCTTCTCTCCACTCTCTTCAGCCTACACAGTAGACCTTTCCCTCTTTGGCACATTTGGAAACTGCAGTTGATAAATGACTGTGGACTAGTGAGCATTTTTTGTTTTAAGAAAACACCAAGGTAAATATCTGTTTCCTTTTTCTTTGGTTTACTTTTCCTATCCGTTAGCTGTTGGCAGGCACTACAGACAGCTTCCCCCAGGTGGGAATGCGTTTCTCTTGGTGGGGGGAGTTGGGAGGGGTACTATATTTTATGTTTCTAGTATTTACTGTTTCTAGAAGACAAGGGGTCATGGCACACCTGTTCAGTCCTGGGACATAAGGCTTCCTTGTAGCATAGAGGCTTTAGATCATCTACGGAAGTTTCTTTTTGCTCAGCATAGGTACCCAAGTCCCCTGAAGTTAGAAATATATAGCACCCCTTAAGTACTGTGGCTCACACCTATAATCTCAGCACTCCAGAGCATGAGGCAGGAGAACTGCCTTGAGTTTGAGGTCACTCCACACTGCATGGTGAATTCTAAGCCAGCCAGCAAGACTTTGTCTCAAAACAAAATAAGGGCTGGCAGTATGGTTCTGTGGGTAAAGATGACCCTCATTCAGTCCCCAGGACCTGTGTGGTAGAAGGTGAGAACTGAGTCTCACAGGTTGTCCTCTGACCTCCATGCACACCTGCATACCCTCACACATTTACACGTTCACACCAAAAGAAATGTAAGGAAAGCTGATTCACACTGAAAAATGAAATGTTTAAAAGCCAGCTGTGGTGGTACACTCCTGTAGTCTAGTTCTTGGGAGGTGGGAGGTAAGAGGTCAGCCTGGGCTTCATAAGACTCTGTCTCAACCCCTACTGCCCCAAAGAAGAAGAAGAAAAAAAAAAATCGATAATCCGTCTCTGTCCTTTATGGGTGGCATCTGCTCTTGGGGTGGGTTTCTCTCTTGAGGCCTACAGACCATGTTCCTGACTGTGCTTTGATGGTTCCTTAGGTGTCCTAAGGCCATCTGTCCAAGCTGCTTCTCTTTGTCCTAAAGGTTCAGTACTTGGTTTTGCTGGAGCCTTCTCCCTTGACTAGTGTGAATACCTTTCTCTTTTTTCCCCTCTCCTTAGGGTCCAGCAACAGCAGACCTGGTGTCCCAGTGGAGGAGAGCCCTGGGCAGAACCCAGGAGTGTAACCGCTTGCCAGGCAGCCCCGAGCTGGAAATGGACAAGTGTGTGGGGAGCTGGGGAGAGCTAATCAGGAGCTTCATGCCAGCCTGTCCCCCACCTATTCTGGCCACGTTTTAGATGGCCATTATAAGATGTGGGTCCTGGGCCTCCTGAGTGCTGGAGCCTTCAGCTGGCCCTGCCTTCCCTTAGGAGATGGGATTGGCATGGTGGTCCTCCAGTAGAAGCCTGTTTCTAGGGGGATGAAAGGAACAGCATCATCTCTAGTCCCCAGGGCCCAGCTTATCCCCTGATGCTGCAACAGCACAGTGTCTGTACCTCCCTGAACCAGGTGCCGTGTTGGGTGGATGCAGTGACTGCCTTTACATGGCCTTGGCCTGTCTCACTCTGCTTTTGATTGGCCAATCCTCTATTGCTGGCCTCACTAGATGAGCAAACCAAGAGTGCTGGCTGTAGATGGAGACTCAGGCTTACAATGCCATATTTTCATTAATGCACTCCAATTTTTTTTTTTCCATGTGCCAAATCTAAAAGCACAGTTCCCCAATAAGTCTGTTACCTAGTTCTGCTCCCTCCTGTGGAGGTAGCTTCTCTGATTCCTTCTGAAGTCATGAGCAGGCTGGCCCAGTGACACAGGAAACCTGCCCAGCATGGCCTGGCATCAGCTTGCGTTTCTCTTCCACCTGTTCATAGTGCCACTAATGGTACTGTTTCTGTTTGAGGTCATGGGTGGAAGGCCAAAAGTCAGTGTTGAGTACCTGCCTTGTACTTTTGTCTAAGCCTCCGGGGAGACGTGCAGCTATGGCGTGTAGACGGCAGCACAGGGAGGATTGTTTGTAAACCTGGTACCTCCTTGTCACCTGCTGAGAAGTTAAGGTTTTCTTGTATCTGAAATATTTCAGTTTCTGTGCCCTCTTCTGTTTCCAGTGATGTTGTTTTAGAGGTGCAGGGATGGGAAAGCACTGGTTTTCTCTCCTACTTTACCTATATTTTCCTTCCACAGTTTCAGCTCTGGGACCATAGATTGGGGTGGGAAGGGAGGATTTCTGGAACTTTCCTCAAAAGGATGTGGGTCCTGGTAAGTGAGACTTGCGGACCAAGAGAACAGTGTCATGCTTGCTGAGAAATATTCCCAAGGAATATGCTCTAAGAACAAACTCAGGTTGGAAGCAAATCATTTCTCTTCAGAACAGAATTCTGAATTTTGGCTGCACCTCAGAATCACCTGGCAAATTAGAACCTTCGATCCTTAGGCCCTTCTGGGGCTTCTGATTTAGTCGCCTTGAACACCAGGGTTATGATCTTGAGATAGGTTTAGATTCATAGAAGAATTCCATGTGCCCTTTACTCAGCTTCCCCTAATGTTAACATGTTAAATAACCTTGTTACAATTTTCAAAATTAAAATGTTAACATTGGTGCCATACTGTTTAACTGGAGGCTGGGTTTTTTTTTTTTTTTTTTTTTTTTTTTTTTCTGGTAATGTCAAGGTAGGATGCCAAAATGCACTTAGAGCTATTGTTTTCCTTTCTACCTAACTTTGTATTTTATAGTAATTGCAGATTCATAGAAGTTACAAAGATGCAGAGTCCATGCATCCTTTATCTGGTTTCCCTCAATGGTCCTATCATCAAACTATAACGTAGTCTCAAAGCCTTGAGTGGTACAGATGGTTCCTGGCACCTGTATAGATAGACCTGAGTAACTGCTACCCAATTCTAACCCACTGCCCTGTCACTACCAGGGTTCTCCCTGGACTGCCACTCCGAGCCACCTGCCCCATCCCTAAGCCCTGGTAACCACTAGACTGTTCCTTATCTGTTACATTGTCATTTCAAGAATGTTGTTTGAGGGGTCATACAGTATGTGGCCATTTGGGATTGACTTCTTCACTCAGCATAGTTCTCTGGGGATTGATCCAGGTCATTGTGTCAGTAGTTTGTCCCCTTTTCTTGCCAAGTGGTATTCCATGGTGTATTCATTGTCCTGTCAAAGGACACCTGGGTTGTTTCCAGTTTTTGGCCTTTTCCAAATAAAGCTGCTATGAACATTAATGTGTAGATTTCAGTGTGAAGATTGGTGTTGACTCTGGGGGATGTCAGGAATACAGTTGCTAGGTTGTTTACTTTTTAAAGAGAAACTGCCAGGCCTTTTGGAGTAGCTGTGTACAGCTTCAATTCCTACATAAAGTGTAGAAATGATCCAGTTTCTCATATCCTCCAAATGATCAGCTATTTAGATAGGTGACCAACAGAACCAACTGTGTTTCTCATCTGCATGTTTTCACTAATCAAATCCAGCACTACATAAGCATCTGCTCATGTTTTCATTTTGGTGAAGTGTCTGTGTTCTTTGCCCGCCCCCCTTTTCCTGTTTAAGAACTCTTCATATATTCAGATTCTAAAATCCTTTGTTGGAGTTTTGGTTTGTAGACATTTTAGTCTGTAGTGCTGTAGTCTAGTCTGAAATGTGCCCCTGAGCTTAGCCCGTGTGAGTCCTCCTGAGGTCACTGGGGCCTTGGCCTCTTCCTTTGCTCCCTGATGACCATGAGGTGAAGAGGCCTCTGCCATGTGCTCCCTTTTTATAACGTACATGGCCCGAGGACCAAGCAACCACAGGGTCCTTTGAGCTTCCCGCCTGCCTGCTGTGTTCTCAGTAACGGAATACTAACAGTGAGGCTGTGTTCTTACAGCAGGGTCTTATAAGGAACAAAGGCTTGTGATTAAATTTGTTTACCAAACTTTATTTTGTGCTTTTAGCATATCTGACTATTCTAGATCGCAAAAGTTTTTTCCTGATAGCTTATGTTTTACATGTAAGCTCATGATGCATTTTTAATTAATGTTTCTATAAATAAGGCTCGGGTCACAGCTGCTTTTTTAATTTATGCCTATGAGTGTTTTGCCTGCATGTATGTCTGTGCATCACGTACATGCCTAGTGCCTGCAGTGGGCAAAAGGCATTGGATCCTTCGTGGAACTGGAGTTACAGTTGTGTTGCACCTGTGGATGCTGAGAATCGAACCCAGGTCCTTTGGAAGAGCAGTCAGTGTTGGTGCTCTTCACTGCCCAGCCATCTCTCTAGACCCAAGGGCTGTTTTTTTTTTTTGGGGGGGGGGGGGTTAGGCTCAGGCTGGCCTCAGACTCATATCTCTGCTTTCTCTGGCTTTTTCCCCTCCTTCCTTGTTTAGCCTAAGGATGTGCATTTGTTGAAAAGGTGTGTGTGTGTGTGTCTCAGGGGGCTGTTTCTGAGTTGTCTACTGTGTCACCTTAGTCTGTATCCACTACACTCTAGATCACTGAAGTTGAACCCACTTTCCCTCCCCCCCCCCCTTAATTGTCTCTCGGGGTCCCAGGCTGGGTGTGGTGGTGCACGCCTTTAATCCTAGCACTTAGAGGCAGGTGGATCTTTGGAGTTCAAGGGCAGCCTGGCCTACAGAAGAAGTTCCAGGACAAAGACTGTGTCCCCTTCCTCAGCCTACCAAGTATGTAATATGCTTGTCTTCTATTTTTATTTTTCAAATCTGGGGGCTTTTTTTTAATGTAGTCTTAGCCTGCGTTACTCTTAAACTTAGTGATCTCCTGCTTCAGCCTCCTGACTGCCACCCCAGTCGGCTCACCTTTTTTTCTTTTTCTTGTAAGAGAGTCTAACACTATGTTCAACCTAACCTGTAAGGCAAAAGCCCTCCTGAGGCCTCCCAAGTGCTGCGATTTTGTTCGTAGATAATCTTGTCTACACCTTGCTTGGATTTTGGTAGGAACTGTATTAAGCCTGTATGTTGTCAACTTGGTTAAGAACTGACATCTTTTACATGTTGTGCCTTCTAATCCATGAACATAGTATGTCTACATAAATATTTTCATTTGTAGACTTCATCTTACAATCTTTTTTAGTTTAAATTTAAACAGTTGTAATGGTACTGTATTTTTTTAATCCATAATGTTCAATGGTATTAAGGAGAAATAGGTTTTTGTTTTAGATTATTAATATTAAGGTAGGTATTTATCTCCCGCCACCTATCCATAACTCCTTACAATTTGCTAGTATGCACAGACAACCATGTCCTCAACTAATACTTGCATTTTACCTAGTAACATTAGACATTAGGACTTTTAAGAAAAGGGTTCACTGTGAAACCCTGGCTGGTCTGGAACTTAATATGTTGATCAGGCTGGCCTTGAACTGGGTCTGTGTCTGACTCCTAAGTGCTGGGATTAAAGGTGTGTGCCACCATACCTAGCAGACATCAGGACTTTCACAAAGTTGTGATTCTAAAAGAAGCTGAAGTTGAAAACTGCCCTTTTCTGAACTTGTCTGTCAATGAGCAGAGGTCCTGAACACAAGAGGTCCTGCCACACACACACATAAAATATGCCTTGCACACTTGGTGACATGTCATGCTGTCAAATGGCATGATTGATCAAATGACTTGATCTTTGCAGTTGAGGGTGATTTCTGCCATGTAGCCCAATATACTGCCTCCTCCCAGTCCCCATAAGACAACAAGTCTGTGGTAGATAAACAGTTTAATGAGAAAACAGTGATTTGTACAAAAAGGTAGCTTTGTGTGTCAATTAAGTATCCTCATTTCAGAGGAGTCGTCATATTGAGTAGTCTTGAACATCTGTCTTGCGCATGGCACCAGTTGTCTAGGTGTATGCTGGCCTGCCCATAAAAAGGTATGTGTCCCTAGGAGGAAGCACTAGCCAGGTTTTTCACATAGTAACAACAGGCTGCCAAAATTAGACTAAACTGTTGCAAAGTGAAGGTCATCTCAGGACTATGTGAGGGAGGCAAAGCCTTCACCTTTTAGCCCTTTGTTCAGCCTGTGGCCTCAATGGAGGGCCCAGCTCTTTAACATCAACTTCCTGGCATATAAGGAGCCAGCCCTGCCAGGGAACCTGGAAACAAAAGTGGAAGGGAAGGAGCGTGTGCTTGTGTGAAGTCCTCATTGCACCACCAGTTGGCACAGGGGCCTGGAGAGGTGTGTTATACTGTTGTCTGTGTTCCATAGCAAGGTGCCGAACTCAGTGTGCAGGGTATGAAGAGCCTAGTCCAGGTGCTTCCTCCAGTACCAGGGGGGCATTAGAGCCTTGGCAAGCTAGGGTTGTGGGCCGCCACCCCAAAAGTTGAGTGGGCCACAAGCAATCTCCAGCACCTGGCACTCTACCCTCACGTAAGGCAAGCAGAGCTGCCTGAAGCCTTTAGGTGGAGCCTCCCCAGAGAACACACTAGTTCCAGTTCATCAGTCTCCAGCTTCTGAGGCAACCTGGTAAGTACTGACATCTGTGGGGACTCAATCCTGTTAACATGCCCCTCAGCTTGCCAGAACCCCCCTCCAGAGTTCTGAAGACTAGGGATGCCTAGAACTACTCCAGACACTCAGGGTTGCTACTGATAGGAATGGAGACCCTGGAGAAACCCCACCCAAAAGACGGCAGTGAGCTGTACCGATGCCTGGCACTTAGGCAGCCCATTTCTTCTCTTATATTCTGCAGCAGCTGGCAACATCTGAATGTCTACTTACAGAACAGGCCAAGGATAGTCTCCTAATCTAAGGATTAGTAGATAGAGGCCTAGACTGAGCTGTGGGTAGTGCTGGTCTGTTCACTTCCTGCTCTGGCCTTGGCCCTCGTCTGGACCCACTTTGCTTTTGTGTTGTCCTGTGGTCCTCTGGTCCTCTGCTTCAGTCCTGGCAGGGAACAGTCTCCCTCACTAAAACCCAGGGGACCTGCTCTACCTGTTGCCTTCGGTCTAAGGAAGCAAAGCCAGAAAGAAATTGGGACTGGGGCAGAGAACCACTTAGAGGTGGATGGGTAGGAGAGTGGGTGTGGAATGGTGCTATGAGTGACCCACAGGTCTTAGTCATCAACACCGGGTACGGGAGTGCCCCACATGGGCCTGTAGTGCTTCCCGGATACCCCGCTGCCAGTCCCGTGCCAGCTGCACTGGTGTCATGGAGGCCTGTGAACAAGGACACTGAGTCAGTCTTCCTCTCCTAGGCACTCCCCTGACCTCAGCACACATGTCAGACATTGCCTGGCTGGTACTTACCACATTCTTCATGCCCAGCTTGGCTCCATAGAGCAGCAGTAGCTTCGTGGCTTTGTGGTGCCCATATCGTACGGCCTCATGGAGTGCCGTGTCCCCTTCCTGTGGAGGGACCAGCCAGTTACTGCTATGGGCCCAAGGCAAGAGGTGCTGACACACAGATGGCCATCTCAGGCTGCTCAGTCACAAACACCCACCTTATCCTGTGCATTGATGTGGGCGCCACACTCAATGAGGTGCTCCAGGCAGTCAGAGTGGCCTGTGCGCACTGCTACATGGAGAGGGGTGCTCCAGATCTAGGAAGAAGTGGGGTGCAGTGCTGGATCTGGGCTAGCTATGCCACCCAATCCAAAAGACCTGTGCCTTACAAGGTGGACATCTGTTTCCTGTATGATTCACGTCTGCCCCTAACAGGTTACTACCCAAAGCAGGCATCAGTCCCTTACCTTGTCCTGTGCATTGACCTGAGCACCCTGGTTAAGCAGCAGTTTGAGGATGTCCAGGTGTCCTCCACGGCAGGCCCAGAACACAGGTGTCCTGTCCAGCTGCAACACAAAGCATAAAGGTTTTCTGACCACGGCATTGCAGGGCCTAACTAGATGAGCCGCCACATTCCCTGTGCGGGCTCTCTTTGCTTCTCACCAAGTCCCGTGCCTCTATAGCAGCCCCTGCCGCCAGCAGCTTGTTCACCAACTGTCCATGGCCCTTCAGACAGGCCCAGTGCAAGGCTGTGCGGTGGAGCTGGGGGCAGAAACAAAAATTAGGCTAAGAAAGGAGAGCTACTCCCTAGAGTCACCCATTCCCTTATGTCCCTAGAACAGGTCAGGTCAGAGTTACCCTGTGTCCCAGGTGAAGGCTAGAGTATATAAGATGGCATATACAGGTGTCATAAATGCATTCACCCGCCCTCTCTACCTTGTCATGGGCATTGGGGTCCCCTCCATCTGTCAGGTACTTGTCAATCAAGGCCTCCTGGTTCTCAGCAGCTGCCTTTAGGAACATTTCCAGGTCCACAGGCTCCAGTGGGATCTGGGGCTGCCGCTGGGTGAGCAGAAGAGAACTAAGTTACTCCCCAAGCCCAAAGGCACCTGCTGCTGCTTCACCAGTCTGGCCCGACACACTTGGTCTGTTTCATTATAGTTTTTCAGTTCTCAGGAGATAAGGAATGGGAAGTGTGTGTTGTGCACTGATTGTTCCCACACTCTAGTTCATATGCTGAATCTTAATACTAGTATCTCAGAATATGATCTTTTTATGGTCATTGCATTTGTAATTATGTTAGAGTAGGGTAGACCCCTTTCCTGTACGACTGACATTGGATACAGGCAGGCACACACAACACGAGGAGTAAAAGGTAGAGATGGGTCATGTGTCTACAGACCAGGGGGCACTAGTGCTAGCAGCCCCAGAAGCTGGGCGGGTGAGTGGGTGCTGAAGGACAGCACACGTCTAGCTCCTGAACAAATTAGAGTGACCTGTTTGTGTGGGTAAGCACTTGGTTACAGCTAGCTCGCCTGTGACACTGTTAATTTGACAGGATCTAGAATCATGGAGGAGACAAGCCCTTGGGCACATCTGTGGGAGGTTATATAGATTAGGTTAACTGATAGGGACCACTCAATGTGGGTGGGACCATTTGATGGGCTGGGATCCTGGGCTGCAGAAAAAGGAGAAAGTGAGCTCAAGGAAATGAGCATTGGGGCCGGAGAGATGCCTCAGCAGTAAGAGCACTTGTTGCTCTTACAGAGGATCCAGGTTCAATTCCTAGTACCTATATGTTGCTTCACAACTATCTGTACTGGCATATAATGCTCTCTTCTGACCTCTGACCACCAGGCATGTACATGATACACAAAATATAAGTGTCGTCATTATCACCACCACCACCACCACCCCCACCCCCCCGCTCTGTTTCCTGCCTTTGGTTGCTCAAGCTCCTGCCATGCTTCCCGACAGCAGTGAACTATACTCTGGAACAGTGAGCCAGGCAGCTAAGCAGCTAATACATTGCCCTATGGAAGGAACAGAAAGCTCTGGGATGCATTCCCTGGAGCTCCCCATGTACTGACTAAGTCTGCAGCCCCTAGATCCATTCTTCCCAGGCTCCCAAGACAGGAGGCTATCTGTGCCTCTGGAACACCAGCCTTAACCTCTCACTCACCTCAACCACAGGCTCAGGTTCCCTGGGGGGGACTTTGTGTCTCAGTCGCTTTTTTCTTCGTCTTTGAACCAAGTTTTCCAAGTCTCTCATATTGTCCAGAGTCAGTCTGGAGCTGTTAAATCTTTCCAGCTAGGGCAGAAGACATGCCCAAGCCAGACATCAGTCACTGGGTAGGGTCTCAGTGCAGGCTCCTGGCTAGACTAGCCCTGCCTTGGAGAAGCCCCCAGCCACTGTAGCTGGGTGACAGTGGCCATGGGCTCTGGGCCCCTACTGCTCACAGACGCCCACACTGTCCCAACCCCATCCCAAGACACTTACTTTCTTCTTCTTCTCTTCCTCCAACTTCAATTTTTCCCGGGCCACAACCTCTTGGGGTCCCAGCCTCCAATCACTAGGCCAGCCTCCAGGATCAGGAACTCCATGTCCAAACCCCAACACTTTCCCATCAGCTCTTTCTTCACTTACCTGCACGACAGGTAGAGTAGGCAGGCTAAGGAACAGGACCTTGGAGGGATACTTGGGAATCAATAGTGTGGCCCAGCAGGATGGCTGAGATCTGACACACAAAGGTCAGTTGTGAACCTGAGAGTCAGCCTGACTTCCTGCTGAATGTTTTCTGGTGGGCTGCAATGCCGGTGCATGTGCATTCAGGCACGCGCGCACACACACGCGTGCACACACCTACACACCTGCAGGTTTCACCAGCTGGCAATTGCCAAGGCACAGGGGAATGACTGCCTGTCAACAGCAGATCAGAGTTGAGGGAGGGTGGTTTCTATACCACTGAGTTCATGCCAGGGAGCCCAGACAGATGACACCTTAGCTTCCAACCTGGGCTTCTATCTCTGGATTCCTATGACATCATGTCACACTGCTACTTGACCCCAAGCTTAGAGAAGTTCCTGGGCCAAATTCCAAATCCCTGCTTTCTCTAAGCCCTTGCTTCTGCCTCTGTAAAATGGGCTCAAACCATCCCCTATGGCTGGTCAGAGCTGATACCCACCCAGTCCCTTAGCCACCCAGGGAGCTGGACAGAACCGAGGAAGGTGCAGCTTGCGGGAGAGAATGCTGGAGAGAAGAACAGAAGAGTCTGAGGCTTCTGGCCAAATGGCCAGGGCTTCCCTCTAACTCAGCAGCTTCAATGACCGAGTATCTCCCGGATGGTCTTTGCCACCCACTTCCCAGGAGCCAGCTGGGGCCACTGCACCACAGTGAAGCATATGACACATGCCTCTCCATGCCCCATGTCACCCAAACTGACACTGCATCGGTGTTCCTCTCACTGCTCAGGGAACCCAAGAACACTACCCTTAAAGTGGCCAGACCCTCCAGAAAGTTCCGACCAGGCTGTCCTGTGCTTGACCTAAAGGAACTATACAGCTATATCCATGGCTCCCAGAGTAACTCACCACCTCCCATTTCTTTTCCACTATCCAGACAAAGGCACACCTAGAAGCCTGGGGGCGCAGCTCTGTGGTAGAGTGCTAGCTTAGCATGTGTGAAGCCTCAAGATGGTCTCCCAGGACCAAACCCACTACAAACAAACAAACAACCTCAACTCAAGGATTTTCCCATCTATTACCAGCCAGTTGCTTCACATCCTTACCAACTGCCGAATGCTGATGAAGTCCATGGTCCCCCCTTGCTCTCCGCACGCCCAGCGAAGTGAGCAGAGTGCTCAGCCTTTTTATGGGAGAGCTCTCTCTTGGGGGTGGAGAAGGACAGAGCTTGTGCCCAGGCCAGATGACTCTGTGGCCCTGTCACACTAACCAAAATACAGGTCTGGGAACGTGGCCCACTGAGGGCAGGAAAAGGAGCTTTTGAAGCTGAGGCGGCAACCTCCTCAGACACCCACTACCCTGCACCTGCCACACCCCACATCTAGCAGGGAGTCATTTTACCACCACATGGGCTGGGGTGCCTTGGCCAGACCCAAGGGAAACATTTCTTACTCCTCCGAGTTTAGAGCCCACTGGTGGAACCCAGCCTTACAATGGAGATCTGGCTGCCTGCCTGAGATATTGAAGACAGCAGTGCAGTCACAGGCATCCTGCAGAAGACCTCAGGAGGCGCAATGGAAGAGGCTGACCTAATGCCTTGGGAATTCTCCTGGACCTGCACGATGAAACTCATATGATCTCCCAAGTGGCTAGTTTCAAGGCTGCCCTTCCCTCCCAGATTTGTCCTCAGCAGGCCGACAGCCAACATGGTGTTCTGCCCCAACCTGTCATCAGCCCTTACAGGGCTTCCACGTCCACACCAGATATTCTCTGGGCATGAAACATGCCCTTCAACAGGGCAAGGGGACTGAGACCTAGTCTGTAGCAATAACCATGACAGCCAGCCACGAAGTGGCCAACAAAATCAAATTCCTAATTCTTCAGAAGCCAGGGATGCTTTTCACTCTGCTATGCCCTAATTTCCAACTTGACCTTTGAAAGGAAATCAGATACCCAGTAAACAAGACTCCTGCATGAGAGCAACATGGATAGAGAACCAAGCACAAGGGGAAACGTCGCTGATAGGAGTGGAGACCTCAGAGGTTTACCAGAGCGCAGGTTGTCCATGCTGCCCTCACAGACATGCAGTTTCCAGAGAACTTAAGGGAACAGCTTTTTAAAGAAAAAAAGAAAAAAAAAAAAAAAAAAAAAAAGCTGGGCAATGGTGGCACATGCCTTTAATCCCATCACTGAGGAGGCAGGAGGATCTCTGAGTTCGAGGCCAGCCTGGTCTACGGAGTGAGTTCCAGGACAGTCCAGACTGTTTAACAGAGAAACCCTGTCTCAAAAAAACAAAAAAAGTAGATAAATAAATAAGCAAGCCCAGGTCTTAAGCTTTAGGATGCTTTCTTTGAAACATCTCTTGGTGAGGAGGAGAGCAGCAGTTACTCCATGAGAGAAGGCAGACAAGAAAGCCAGACTAGCTCTGCTCTCCCCTGTCCTACATATGAAGCTGGGCATGGTTGTACATGATTGTTTTTCTAGTACTCAGGTGGGTGTAGTGCTTGGATTAAAGGTGTTCAAGACCAGCATGGTCTACATAGCCAGTTCCAGAAAGCCAGAACTACATAGAAACCCTGTCACAAACAGACAAAACTCCTAGTATTCAGACGGCTAAAGAAAGAGGACCCTGGCTTTAAAATTCATCTGGGTTACCATGAAACCCTGTATTTAACAACAAAAATAATAATTTCTTTTAGGAAAATGCTAGTTTGTTCCACACAAAGGTAGCTCTAAGTTAAGAAACAATAAAATTGAGCCAGGTGGTGGTGGCATATGGCCTTTAATCCTAGCACTTGGGTGGCACAGGCAGGCGGATCTCTGTGAGTTTGAGACCAGCCTGGTCTACAAGAGCTAGTTCCAGGACAGCCTCCAAAGCCACAGAGAAACCCTGTCTCGGAGGGGGAAAAAAGAAGAAACAATAAGATTATACTTTATTTTTAAAAATAAAACTAAAGACCTATTTGGTTATTCTTGTCTCCATGGCCCAGGGGAAACCATATCTTCCCAACTTTTCCTCCTGCCCCTACACAGCACATGTCATCTGAAGAGTATCACACCGTGGGCACCATTTGGCACTCGCCACACTGCTACCTACATTAAAGTGATATGCCAAACCCAACCCTTCCTGCCAGGGACAAGCCAGTTTGTCTTCTCTCTCTCAGTAGGTCAGTTCTTAGGCTCTCTCCCTCTTTCTCTGTCTCCCTTTTCTGTCTGTCTGTCTGTCTGTCTGTCTGTCTGTCTGTCTCTCACACACACATACACATACACACACACACACACACACACACACACATGCACGCACACACGTGCACACACACTCTCACACTGTAGCTCAGGCTTATAATTCTGCCTAAGTTCCTGAGGGCTGGGATTACGTGTTAGCTGCCGTGCCCGATGCTCTTTTTAAAAATACACTATATTTTGATGCATCTCTTGTTCTCTCAGTGCTGGGAAACCAAGGGCCTTGTGCCCCAATGCAGAGTTTGTGAATGAGCCTGGAAGACACCTTTGCAATCAAGGATGGATCTTCCTAGGTTGCTATAGAGAAGTCAAAACTATTGGCTCTGTTCACTTAAGCACTGCTAAATTGCCATCTACGGTGTGTGTACCAGTTTCCATGACCAGACACCAACCAACTTAAGGCACGTGATAGTGCAAAAGGAAATTTTAATATCCATATATAAAACTCATATATCATACATTGAGCAAAGGCTCAATATTCATAATGGAAAGTTCCTGTGAATCAATAAAGACATGGCAAGCTGCATGTGGTGACACACACCTATAGTCCCAAGGAAGCTGAGGCCAGAGGCTGGCTCCACGTTGGAGGCTAGCCTAGACTACATAGCAAGAACAAAAACATTTTAAGGGCTGGAGAGATGGCTCAGAGGTTAAGAGCACTGACTGCTCTTCCAGAGGATCTGAGTTCAATTCCCAGCAACCACATGGTGGCTCACAACCATCCATTATGAGATCTAGTGCCCTCTTCTGGTGTGCAGATATACATGGAAGCAGAATGTTGTATACATAATAAATAAATAAAATCTTAAAAAAAAAACATTTTAAATAGGCATAAATAGGAAGGTCAAAGACAGGTATGCAGTCTCACTAGTAAGCAGTGCAGAACAAACAAAAAAGCAATTACAATTACATGGTTTTTGGAGACAGGGTCTCTGTAGCTCTGGCTAGCCTGGAGCTCCAAGCGATCCTCCTCCCTTGGCCACCATGATTAAAGGTGGAACACACCCGAACAGTTACACTTTGTACAATCAGACTTCTAGAAATAAAATTCTGGAATCAATTAAACTTTGGGACTGGTCACTGTTTCTCCCCATTGTATTAGGGATAGAACATAGGGCTTTTGCATGTCAGGCAAGCACTCCACCACTAGCTATATCCCCTCTTTTTACCTTTTGAGACGGGCGGGATCTATGTTGCCCGGGCAGGCCTCAGCCTCCTGACCAGCTGTTTCAGGCCTACAGTGCCAGGCCCGGTCTCGGGCACTCTCCCATGCTGCTTGTAACGTAGCTCACTCATTAGGGTGCCCTCCATTGGGGGTGGGGTGAGGGACAGACAGGGGGTTCAGGGATGAACAGGTAAAAAAAGAACACTGCACCAAGCTCATTCAGCTAGAAAACAGCTTTTGTTAGATACTACATATTTTCTTCTAATACTTCAAAGTTTTGCATTTTTATATTTAGGACTATATCTTGAAATTTATCTTTGTCTGTGGGATGATGTCAAGATATAAGCTTTATTTTCTTCCAAATGGATAGCTATTTCAACAAGGACTAACTTACACGATCACCTGTCCAGGCTCACAGCCTTCAAAGCCCTCCCAAGCCTCCCCACTGGCCAGACAGGGGCTCTTACAGGCATTTTGGCCCTGGTTCCATCCAACAGCATGATGCTGAGCAAGGCAGGGGTGTGAAGAGCTAGTCTGTGTACCCTTCAAGGGCAGCCAGAGACAGGAGGTGGAGCCTCAGCTGGCCAACAGGTCCCGCAGGCCACTGTTGCAGGGCAGCAGGTCACATGCTAGGCGTGCTTTGTGATCCCGGACAGCCTTCAGGGCTGGGCTGTGTTGTAACAGGAGAGAGCAAATGTCCTCGTGACCCTTCTCTGCAGCCTGTGGAGACAGAGGCCTGAATCAAAAGACATACCCGAGCTGAGCCCTGCACGTTCTTCCCTTTCAGGGGATCTGCTTAAAAATGTTTCCTAGAAACAGGAACCTCAGATGTGTGAGCAGACTTCCAATTCCTACCAAAGCCCCATGACGTATGCGCAGATCTGTGAAGCACCTGGGCCATTTGGACAGATAGTTAGCATCAGTTCTGGTTCTACTTCAGCTGTTCTGAAACTTTCTATGTAGACAAGACTTGGCAACCCTCATGCCTGTCTTCCAAGTGCTGGAATTACAGGTATGAGCAGCCATGTTTGGGCCTTTGTGCATGTCACACAAGCACTCCACCACTGAGCTACACACCCTCTTTTTACCTTTTGAGACAAGGTCTCACTATACTACTCACTATCTTACTAATATTTACTAATTTTTTTTTGGGGGGGGGACAGAGTTTCACTATGTAGCCCTGGCTGGCCTGAAGTGCACTATGTATATCAGGCTATGTATTCCTGAAGTCTGTCTGCCTCTGCCTCCTGAATGCTGGAATCAAAGGCATGTACCACCTCCTGATCTCTTATTTTGTTATTGTTTTATTTGTTGTTGTTGTTGTTTGTCTTTTTTGAGATAGTGCCTCACTATGTAGCTCAAGCTAGCCTCAAACTCATAATTCTCCTGCCTTGGCCTCCCAGGGTCTAGCATTTAGGATTACAGGTATGTGCCTCTCCCTCCACCCCCTCCTCACCCCATAGCTTAGCCTGGATTTTTTCTTAATATCCTTTTCCCAGTAATCATTCTGGTCTTTATTTAGCTGTCCCACAATTGCCCATAACCCCCGAACTGAGGCGAGTGGGAATCTCTGGGGCTTGCTGGCTTTCAGCTACATGAGAAAACTTGTGCCCCGCTTTCAGGAAGAGACACTTCTCTCAAAGGAAAAGGCAGGGACTGATACAGTAGAATACCCAATGCCTATTTCTGGCCTCTGTGTACAGGCACAGGCATGTCCACAGCACATCAATGTGTGCAAACACTCACAGATACATGTAACACAAATAAATCTATTTTTTAAATTGCGTGTATGTGAGTGTGTGTGTGTGGATGTGTGCAGATGGCTGCAAAGGTCAAACGAGGACAGCAGATTCCCTAGAGCTGCAGCTACAAGTGGCTGTGAGCTGGGAACTGAACTTACATCCTCAGCAAGAATACAATACACACTCTTGGGCTGGAGAGATGGTTCAGAGGTTAAGAGCACTGACTGCTCTTCCAGAGGTCCTGAGTTCAGCAACTACATGGTGGCTCACAACCATCTGTAATGAGATCTGGTGCCTTCTGGCCTGGAAGCAGAAGACTGTATACATAATAATAAATAATCTTAAAAAAAAAAAAAGAATAGTATATATTCTTAATCACTGAGCTACCTCTTTAGTCTCCACAAATTAGTAAATTAAGTTTTGTTTTGTTTAAAGACAGTGTTTCTCTGTGTAGCCCTGGCTATCCTGGAACTCACTCTGGAGACCGGGCTGGCCTTGAACTCAGAGAGACCTGCCTGCCTCTGCCTCCTGCGTGCAGGGATTAAAATGTCCACCACCACCCAGCTATTAGTAAGTATTTTTAAAATGAAGAGTCAAGCTTCTACACCTGTCAAGGATTTAACAAAACCCAACATGCAGCGTTCACTCAGCACCTGTGCCACGTGCTAAGGTTGCACACTCAACAAAAGCAAGCCCCAGCTGCTGCCTCTGGAGAGGCAGACCTCAACAGAATCGTGAGATGAACAGGTGTCTTAGGAAGATTTCCATTGCTGTGACAGACCATCAGGATCAAATGTAACTTGGGGAAGAAGGGCTTTATTTCAATGCTGGTTGCTGCTCATTATGAAGGGAAGTTGGGGCAGGAACCCGGAGGCAGAAATTAAAGCAGAAGCCAGGGAGGGATGCTGCTTACTGACTTTCTCCTCATGAGTCTTCCTTCTTTTTTTTTTTTTTTTTTTTTTTTTTAGGTTCTTCTTTGAGATAGGGTTTCTTTATGTAATCCTAACTGTCCTAGAACTCACTCTGTAGACCAGGCTGGTCTCAAACTCAGAGACTCACCTGCTTCTACCTCCCAAGTGCTTGGATTAAATGCATGGCCACTATGCCTGGCTTTTGCTTTTTTAAGATTTCTTGTTGTGTGTGTATTTTGCTTGCATATAGGGAGTCAGATTCACTGGAAATAGAGTCCCAGATGATTTGAACCACCCTGTGAGTGCTGGGAATTGAACCTGGATCCTCTGTAAAATAATCCAGTCCTCTTAACCATTGAGCTATCTCTCCAGCCCCTGGCCTGCTTTCTTATACTATCCAGGATAACCTGCCAGGGATGGCACAGCCCCTAGTCAGGTGAGCTCAACTACATCAATCATTAAGAAAATGCATTACAAGCTTGCCTCCACAGTCTTATGGAGGCATTTTCTCAATTGAGAGTCCCTCTTCCCACATGAGTATAGTTCATATCAAGGTGACATAAAACTAACCAACATACCAGGAGTCAGGAAGTCAAGTGCAGGACACGAAGAGCTGGGAATGTCTGGGGACCAGGAAGGTTCTACAGAGTTGACACAAACTACAGTCCAGAAAGGAGGGTAGAAATAAGACCTACGAAGAGCGGGAGGGGAAAAGCCGGATGTGGTGGTGCACGCTTAAAATCAGTTCTCAAAAGACAAGGGCAGGAGGTTGCCACCAGTTGAGAATAGCCTGATCTGCTATAGTTCCAGGTTAGCCAATGCTAGAACTCTGGTGGGAGGCGGAGAGAGGGAGGGACAGAGGTAGGAAGGGAGAACCTGTTTCAAAAGAGGGGGGCAGGGGAAGTGGAGAGGCATCCATTTGGGAGATTGTGATACACAGTGACGGTGAGTACAAGAGGATGAAAAGGACTAGCAGAGCCCGAATATAGATAGGGTCCAAGGTTGAGAGCTGAGGACAATCACTACCCAGGTGGCTTTGGAAGATAGCTTCTTGGATTTGGAAAAAGCAAGCCTCTGAGGGAATCCCATGGAGTGTACAGTTTGATGGAAATTCTTTTAAAGCCGCTGTACTGGTAGAAAATCAGAGGTGGGGCAAGGAAGGGCTCTTATCTAAAACATGCATAAATCACATCTTTAAGATGAATTTGTGGGTGGGCAAATAGCTCATTGGTAAAGCACTTGTCTAGCAATCCTAGCACTTAGAAAGGTGGAGGGCTGGAGAGATGGCTCAGGGGTTAAGAGCACTGACTGCTCTTCCAGAGGTCCTGAGTTCAATTCCCAGCAACCACATGGTGGCTCACAACCATCTGTAATGAGATCTGGTGCCCTCTCCTGATGTGCAGATATATATGGAAGCAGAATGTTGTATACATAATAAATAAATAAAATCTTAAAAAAAAAAAAAGATGGCTTAGAAGGAAACAGCACTTGCCGCCAAACCTGTCTATATCAGTTCGATGCCCTGGTCCCATGTAGTGGAAGGAGAGAATTGACTTCTGAAAGTTGTCCTTTGATTGCTCTATGCCCATCTTGGCATGAATGCATGCATGCACAGATATCATGTGGCCAGCTGCCTCATGCTCCTAGCCTCCTACTGCTGTTACTGCTGTTACCTACTTGCCATGATGGACTGTATCCCCCACCTTGAACTGTGATCCAGTATAAACCCTTCCTTCTTTAAATTGCTTCTGTTAATTTCATCACATGGGTGGCACATGCCTTTAATTCTAGCAATTAGAAGGCAAAGGCATGTGCATGTCTGTGAGTTCAAGGCCAGTCTGGTCTATATAGTGAATTCTAGGACAGCCAGGGCTACATAGAGAGACCCTGTTTAAAAAACGAAACAAAACAAAAAACAACCCAGAATTTGTCACATGAATGCAACAAGAAAAGTAACTAATAGGGCTGGAGAGATGGCTCAGCGGTTAAGAGCACTGACTGTTCTTCCAGAGGTCCTGAGTTCAATTCCCAGCAACCACATGGTGGCTCACAACCACCTTGAATGAGATCTGGTGCCCTCTGTTGACATGCGGGCAGAAGACTATATACATAATAAATAAAATCTTTAAAAAAAAGTAACTAATATACAAATAAGATTAAGGAAAAGAAAGTATGATGGAGACAGGGACATACCTTATGTAGACTGGTCATGCCATCGTCATCGACCAAGCGGGGGTTGGACCCGTGGGACAGCAGTAATCGTGCAATTTCTGTATGCCCACAGTAGCTGGCCCTGTGCAAAGCTGTGGCACCCCCGTGGGTCTGGGCATCACACTTTGCTCCACTTTCCAGCAGAAATTGGCAAACAGCATAGTGCCCATTGCGGCTAGCGTAGTGCTGCAGGGGGGCAGAGACTGAAGTCAGATAGCAAAATCCTGGCAGGTGACAAGGGCACTAGGCTAAAAGCAAGGGGCAGACCTGGAATCAGCTTAGAGATACTGTGCTCTTCCACTAATTAAAATACCCAGCTGCTCATAATGCTGCCAAAATAAGGGGAGGGTGGCTACGGATACAGTGTAGGTGGGAGAGCGCTTATCAGTCACGGTGGCACAAGCCTTTGTTGTAATCCCAGCACTTGGATGGAGGATCAGGGTCATCCTCCACACACAGCAAGTTGAGGCTAATGTGGGCTATGTGAGAGCCTATTTCAAAAGACACAACAACAAACTTTACAGCCAGGTGAGGTGGCACATGTCTGTAATCTCAGTACTGAGAGGAAGAGGCAGGAATGACTCCAAGGACAGCCTGGGCCACAGAGTCAACCCTTACAAAAACAAAAAAACCCCAAGAGCCAGTGAGATGACTCATTGGCTAAAAGTACTCACTAATAAGTCTGGTGACCTAAGTTCTACCCCCAGAACTCACACAGTGGAAGGAATGAAACAACTCCCAAAGGTTGTCCTTTGATCTCCACACATGCACTGTGGTAAGCTCGTGTGTGCGTGCGCGCACACACAGGCGCACGCACACAATAACAAAACAAACACCAAAGGGTTTGCTGTAAGTAAAAGGGAGGAGAGCAGGCAGCCCACAGATAAAGCCTCTCCCCATAGCTCACCAGTGCTGTGTAGCCAGCAGAGTCAGGCTGGCTAGGGTCAGTGGCCTTCTGGATGAAATGCTTCACTCGGCCCAAGTCTCCATTCAGGGCTGCCGACCAGATTCCTGGAGAGAGCCAATCAAAGCACTAAGCAGTGCCTCATGATGGGAGTTTTCTCTTCTCCCTTCCTTCCTTCCTTAAGAATTTCTTCTACTTTGTGACTGAAGCTTTTAAATCTATAAGTTAGAGCTTGGGACCCTATACCTACATTACCCCAGGAAGCAAGCAATAATCCTATGTTCAGAATTGTTATAATCTGCATCTGTCATAAAAGCTGGTCCAGGGCTAGCCAATGGTGGGGGCACTCGCCTTTAATTCCAGTAGTCAGGAGGCAGAGGCAGAGGCAGGTGGATTTCTGAGTTAGAGGCCAGCTTGGTCTACACAGCGAGTTCCAGGACAGCCAGAACTGTTTGTTACACAGAGAAACCCTGTCTCAAAACAAAAAGCTGATTGGGGGACGGTGAGATGGCTCAGCAGGTAAAGTACCTGCCACCAGGCCTGACTACCTGAGTTCAATCTTCTACAACTACACAGTAGGAGAAAATAGACTCTAGTGAGTGTCCTCTGACCTCCGAACTCATACCCTGAATAAATTCAAAAATAATAAAATTGTTGAAATAAAAATGACCACACATAGGTTGACCAATACTACAAGGCCAGTTGTAGTATTTAATTAGTGGCTTGGAATTCACTCACAATGCAGCATAAAAGGATGGGGAAAAAGAGGTAAGGAAACACAGGAGAACATGTGCCAACATTCTTCTAAAAGGAATTACAGAGATATGCTGGATGTAACCCAAGTGTCATGTCCTTGCATGGCTCCAGGGACTTGACCTTACTGGTACAGCAAGGGAGCCCAGACACCGGAACACACAGAGAAGCTAGGAAGCTGGGAATGGTGGGCTGGGCTCTCTGATGGAGAACTGCAGCACCCCAGAGGCTCAGTGTGTTTATTATATATGGTTTAACAGACAGTTGGGGGGGGGGGGGGGGGGGGGGGGGGGTGGTGGTGGGAGAGGGGGGGGGGGGGGTGTGGACAACAG